TCTCTCTCTCTCTCTCTCTCTCTCTCTCTCTCTCTCTCTCTCTCTTTCACACACACACACACACACACACACACACACACACACACACACACTAATCCTTTCCTACATTTCTGAAATCCTCCCAAATCCCAAATACCACAAGAGGAAAATTCTATACCTCATCTCATGGAATAGGTCCTGATCAAAACACAGGGCCACTGGGGATATTATGTAATATTACCTTTGGGCTACATGCATAAGGTAGCTATGAAACAAGTGAGTTTTGTACTCAGACTTGGTATATGCAAGTGTTCCAAACACTGCAGTGCTTCTGATCCAAAGTGCTTTGGATTCGTACTTGGTCATTATGTGAATTGGGGACACTTGGGGATCTACCTCTAACCTTCGGCAATTAGAGTTATGGAGCACAGCCATGGTCTTTTGAGGGTTTGAATGTATTGATGGACACAGCCTGGGTATGGTCTCCATGGGAACGCCATGGCCACTACCCATTTTAGTCTAGTGAAATACAAGGAATCCTGGGTTTTGTCAAAGTAGGGCAAGATGGTGATGTGGGTTTGGATAATTTAGCCCTATTTAAACTCTCCCATTTGTTTCTAGGGACCAAGCCCTTTGTACCTGCAGGCTCTTCCATTTTTTTATTCCAGTGGTTTCTTTTCTTCACTGCACCCTCCCCAGAGCCAGCAGCTATTTATTCTTCATCTCAGGGGACCCTGCTTATATAAAACCCCTGGGAAGCCCCACTCTGTCTTAGCTGCTCCCCCAGGGGCTCCTGAACTTTTCCATTTTTCCTAATACAGCAAATAGTCCGGCTGTCTGTGTCATGGTTTCATGTCTGTAGGGTCCCCGAGATCTGGAGCTGAACCCCAGCAATTTGCATGATGCCTAGAATACACCAGCCGTCCAACAAATATTTCTAGAATTTATGAACACAATGATTTCAAAAGATAAAGTGTTGCAGGATTACATGCATAAAAACCACTACATAAAGAACACCAGAAACTGAGGGCTATCCCCATCAGGAATCTGTAATTCAACTAAACCAGCGAACCTTTTTAACCTTCTGAGGATTCTTCAAACGTCGACATTTTCTGATATCCATTTCCGTTGTGTTCACACAGCCTGGCTGAGATGAAGAAAATAGTAAAAATTACTAAGTGAAAATTATGCTTCCGACTGAATCCAAGTAATAGCATCAAAACTAATCCTGGCCTTTGCAGATAATGCATAATCTTTTTATCTTATAATGTATGTTCCTGTGTGGAGTTCTCATTGGAAATATAAAATATGATCTTATAATCAGAATACCTTATGGAGCATCTAATATGCATTCCTGCCATCAAACCTCTATTTCAAGTGACCACAGTGCTTTGGGCATAGTGGCAAAAGGTGGGACATTTAGCAGGTCCCACGGTGGGTAAAGAACAGCCACGCCATGCAGACAGAGCTTGAGTGCAGAGTTTATTGAGAGAAGGGTAAAGGGGAGGGAAGAGAGAGGGAGAAGAGGGTAGAGAGAAGAAGAAAGGAGAAAAAAAAGGAAGGAAGGAAAGAAGGAAGGAAGGGGGGAGAGAGAAACAGCTGGAAGAAAGCGTGAGTAGGCAGGGCTTGTCTCTTAAAGGGACCTTTGCACCTGTGTACAGTTAGGATACTGCTTGCCATACGTGGAGGGGTGAGGCACTGTGCCAGGTTCCCAAGGGGCAGGGCCAAGGCGTGCCTGGATGCTAATACATAACCTTTGTTATGTTCTAACCATCTGAAAAAATTCCCATGCCAGGAAGTTGTTGTTTTAAATTGTTGCTTTTAATCAGCTTTTGAGGAAGGTTGGAATCGTTTGTTCATTTTCAATTCCATTTCCTGGGGGCAATCAAGATTTGTTTTAATAATGTGAAATCAGAGACACAGTCAAGCTTCATTGTGTACTGATTTGTGAATTCATCTACTTGCTGAATTTTCTTTGTAACGTGCAAATCAATGTTCTCAGAGCATGATGACCGTTTGTGGACAAACGCAGAAGAACAATAATGTTGAGTCACCTGACATAACCATGCCCAGTTGAGGCTGAGCAGGGTGAGGCTCTCTGCCTTCCTATTCCATGCTATAGAGCAGCTTTTACAGGGCTTATTTGCTGCCAGGCTTTCTCCATTTTTGTGCTTGTCTTAGAGTCTTTTCTATTTTAGGTAGCCTTCAAGCAGGGTGTCAAAGAACTGGTAGTATCCTAAGGGTGAACGGGGTTCCAACACTACCACAGGAGAAAACAGAATGGCTGTGATGTGGCCCAAATCACAGTTCTGTCAATTGTGGGTTTAACACAGTGAATCAACATTTTATAGTAAATATGGTGTCTTCACACAGGAACACATGTGAAACAAGGCTACATATTGATCAAAATATATGACCAGTTTCTGGAAAGAAGCTAGCTCACCCAGGAGCAATACTTCAATATTCACTAACTCAGAGTTTTCAGAGACTGTATAGAACATGACTACTGTAGATGACAAGACTTAAGGGTATGTGAAAAGAATTTCTTAAGATTTGGGGCTTAATGACGGCAGAAGCAAACACTGCTAATTTGGAAGAATGGAGGTTTTGGGACTCCAAAATTCCTCTCTTGGTATCCCTATTGTTTCCCCATTTCCAGCCCTACATTTTTCCCAGCGCATAGTTCTTAAAAGATGGACCTGACATCCTTCCCAGGAGATCTATGGGGGAGAATATGAACAAATGGAAAAAGTGGTTTCACACAGCTAAGCAGCGTTCACAAGGAAGAGTCACTTGGTTGGTCACTAAAGACAGTCATAAAGAAGGAAGTGGGGGGATCCAGTGAAGGGAACCAAGCAGAACTTCCTCACCACTGGCCTGTGGACATCCCAAAAGGCCCGTTCTTGACTATCCAAGATTTTCCTCTCTGTCTTATCCTTTTTCCGGTCAATCCTGAAAGAGTAAAGAGAGGACATGAGAAGAGTTTGTACTGTTTTCTGCCACCTCAGCTCTCCTGCTCCTAGGGGTTAAGGCTGAACCCAAGATTATTGTCACCTGCGTGGCCCCTCAGAAACTCCACACGTGGCAAGAGCTTTTTTTAGGCTGGATTACAGGCTATCATTTGTGAGCAATGCCCATGATAGGTAGACAGGAAGAATGAGCAGAGACAGAGTTGCTCACAAGAGGTATTGAGGTCTGGGTTACTAAGGACTGAATTCTCCATTGGCCTGTCCCTACTCCAGAGCAAAATTCTACCTGTGTGACTTGCTAAGAAGGGACACAGCCACCTGTTTGCCAAACATGTTTCCATCTCAAACATGAAAGTTTAAATAGCAGTTAAAGCATCTGTAAAATGATCCAATTATGTATTTTAAAAGTCACCTAAATCTTCTGAGTTTCTAAAGGCCAAGCAGTGGCTCTAGCCTGTGACAAGACCCCGACGGCAGACTAGCCTCTGCTGGGAAAGGAACCAACTGCAGAAGGGAAATTACGGAAGGCAAAACCAGAGTCTGTGTATTCTGATCCAGGAGCCCCCAAAGAGTCCCCTCTCCCCCAAAGCATGTATCATTTCACATCACCTAAGTAGAAAGCAACTTGGATTAATTGCCACGTGACTTGTGGTTCTCAGCTCTCTTGGGAGTCCTTTAGTTTACTGGACTGAAATAAACCCATAACCACCCTGTGATTTTTGTGATAATTGCGGTGTACTTCAAAGGCCCGCAATTACTAGGTAATCACAGGGTTAATCAGAAAAGTTAGTGGAGAAAAGCCATATATGTACAAAGTGGCTGTTTCTCCCTCTTTTAAAGTGTGATGCTGTTTGAGTCTGGGAGAGCTAATCCATGCTTCTCTTTGCTTTCCAGTGACTCGTGAGCACCCGGACACAGCTCTACCTCAGTCCATCCAGATCTGAGCCCCTCTTCCCACCAGCTCTCCCACCCTCTACTTCCCAGATGGTCTCCTGCAGTCACTTAGTACGGAGCACCTGGTGTCTGCCTTCCCTTGGGGACATCTGGGAACACTGGGTTGGGAAAGAATCAGCAGGTGGCTGGTATCGTGGACCAGGGAATGGCAGATATAACTGAAGGAAGGTAATAGCAATGATGGCATGCAGATTGCCGGGTCAGATGACCTCAGCTCTTTTCCAATGGTGACCATTGGTTATCTATCCTTACCCACACAGGCCTCAACTCTGACCCTAGGTGTTAAGTGGGGTCACCCCTGAGCATGAAAGGACTTCCTGGAAGTTGTATGGCGCCTGTTCTCCTACAAGGGAACAGAGAAAAGTTCCCTACATTCTCCAGCTCAACCTCCTTCCCATTTCTCTTCTGTCCTCCTTTGCCTATTAGTCCGGCTGGCTAAGCTAGACACCATCAGTATGAGGAGACCCTGGTCATAGTAATTCCATGTCCCAGAATTCCAAGGTGACAGCCCTGTTTATGGGCTGAGGGGCCTTCAGTCTCCATGTCTCATGTTTCCTTATGGAAGAAGCAGTCTCCACTCTGTTCCCATGAATGAAGGCACAGACAAAACCCTTCCAGATCTTTTTCTTCCTTCCCTTTGAGGAGGATGAGTGATTTAATCTATTGGGGGGAAACAAGAAAGTTCACACTGGTTCTCCCAGGTGAGCCTGAGCTCAGGATATCTGTTATCTGAGGGAGTCAGCTCTGTTCTAGCAGAGGGACTGTGTAGATACCCACCTCTGCCCAGGAAGGACGTAACTACTAAGCCATGCCTCACAGTGTAGATTCAGCCTAAATTCAGAAGTCTAAATTATATGCTTATTTTTCCATTAGTTTTTTTTTTTTTGTTTTGTTTTGTTTTTCAAGATGGGCTTTCTCTGTAGCTTTGGCACCTGTCCTGGAACTCACTCTGTAGACCAAAGGCTGTACTCGAACTCACAGAGATCCACCTGCCTCTGCCTCCTGAGTGCTGGGATTAAAAGCACGTGCCACCACCACCCGGCTATTTCCATTAGTCTTAAGTTTCATTCCTGTATGAGAGATGATGAGAATGACCTTATCCCTCTTCTGGTATAAATGCAAGAGGTACCCCACAGATTTCAAGCACCTGGTTCTAACTATTGGAGGTGTTTGGGGAGAGTGGGAAGTCAATAGGAGGTAAGGCTTGAGTAGTGGATGTGGGTCATGTGGGAGCCTTGGAGATATAGCCCATGCCTGATTCTGGTCTAGCTTCCTCAGCTTCCCGATAATCCACGATGCAAGTAGCCACCGCCAGACACTCCCATCACCATGAACTCTACCACATCTTCCACCATGATTTAGCGTACCCATCCCCAAAACCGTGCACCCAAATAAACCCTTCTTCATTGAGTTGCTTCTGCTGCAGCGTTGAGAACAGGAACTAAGGCGTCCTCCTCAAGTTTCAACATGTTAGCCCGTAGAGTCAAGGGCTCTAGACCTACAGTGATCCCGGTCTGGTGTTTTTCAGGCTCTCAGCACAGACATCTTACGGAAATCTCTTGGGCAAACAGGTACATCTTTCAGCTCTGCATTTGAGAGGATTCTCTTTGTCTGATGGACTTGTCCTAGCAGGACCTCAGTTCCAGACATGAAGCCTATTCATCAGGATTGTCCTATCATTTATTCAATCTCTCCTGGGGGATGAGAGAGACTAACCCAGGCGGAAACCTCACTTTGGCCACCACACCCCAGACCCTAGAGTGTTCCTTTCTCTCCCAGAAGTCTCTGCTGCATCCACCTACTTCACTTGTGCCTCTGCTTGCATAAAGATGAATTCCCACTTCCTCGCAAAGGCCCGCTGGAGTCTCGCTAAGTTTTCCTGGTGAGAAACAAAAATCAATAAGAAGGTATTAATCTTTGTAAGCTAATATACCGACACCCACGCTTCTCACAAGGCAGCCATCCTTTCTGGTTTCCTCCAATCAACATAGCAGGGTTTCGTGCTGAAGCCACTGAACATGACCCCGATTTGACTTTGTACCAGCGCCTGCTAAACTGTCCAACTCATAATGTTCATCTATAAGTGTATTAAAGTATGAAGTCTTTGGCTCACCCTGATTCATCTCTTCATGGGTGTTCTTTTGAGAACACAAGTCACACAGTGCCTGGTATAGAGATTGCTAGAAATATAGCCCAGCGGCTGATGGAAAAACAATGTCAGGGCCATCCCATAGCGAATCTCAGGATGGAACTCTTGAGTATAGTTCTTCCAGTAGGGAGCTGGGGGTGGTGGTGCAGGAAATGGGGACCTAGAGTGCTTTCATAAGTACTTTCTAAGGCCAGGATTCAGAAATTGACCAAAGAGTGACTGCAATATTCATGAAAAAAAAATCAGAAACAGAAAAAGAAAGGAAGGGAGGGAGAGAGGGAGGGAGAGAGAGAGAGAGGGAGGGAGGGAGGGAGGGAGGGAGGGAGGGAGGGAGGGAGGGAGGGAGGAAATCCCCCATCCAGGATTATCTTTAGAGGAAAGGGGAGAGACATTCTTCTCTCAGCCTGCAGACTTTTCTGCTGGAGCCTCAGGACAATGTGAAGAGGTTTGACAGGACCTCTAATGACCCCCCTAATTCTGATTAATGCAAGACTGGAGCCCACATTATGGTATGTATTTCTGCAGAGCTCATGCCAACACTAATTGATTAGCCTCATTAGTAAGTTATTAATATAATAGGAGCTCTGGCTAAGGAGCATGCAAATTCACACCTATTGCCAAGGCTCGGGGTACAACTACTTTGAAAAGAAATTTCCCTTTGATGCTTGCACTAGGAAGTCCAGCTGGTGATACCTAAATGCCAATCACTTGGGGAAGCAGAGAACTATAACTCTGTCGTGCTGTGGAGTACTGTGCAGGAATCAAAATGGCAATCTAGTTAGTATTACTGACATAGAATGATCCCTAGATGTTACAGTCTGTGATTATAAGAAGTAGTAGGAACAGTCAAGAAACCATACATATAGTAAAAACTTAATAAGAGAATGATGGGCCAATTTCTCTCCTTTTTTTTTTTGCTGTTTCTGCTGTTTCAATTTTTGTTTCCTATAGAGAAATTTCAACCAGAAATTTTCAACCAAATTAGTATGCTTTGGGAACAAAATGCATTTGTAGTTCCTAAGCATTTTTATGAAGAAGTTCATCCTGAAAAAAAAAAACCTTTATGCCGTATACTTTATAAATATCAAAACAGACCACTGTGGGGCAAGTGAACACAAAACTGAATAAAATACACTAGGCGGTGATGTGTCATTTCTGGGTAGTGTATTTACTAAGACAAGGAAACCTGGGCAAGAGCAGTGGAAGATCTAGGACCCTTACTGACATGCTAGGAAAGTCGAGTGGTCATAGTGAAGCTGTTTGCCTTGGGTTTGCAGCAAGAAAAACAGCCACTGTGGGAATGAGAGCTGATACGACATCAGGACACACAGGTAGGATCCAACTCCCAGGATTCCACAGATACACTGTTGCAGGTTTGGAGACAGTCACACAGGATGGGCCAACACGTGATGGGATAATGCCCACATTCACCAGATTCTGAGCTGCTAGGCAATCTCCTGACATCAGTCCCTACTCTGCCTCCCAAACGCAAGTCTGCGATACCAACAGGCTCAACAAGGGCAGCATGCCATGACCAAGTTGTGCTCTCCACTGGCTACACATTTGCCTTTGGGTAGTGGAAAGGGGATCTGTGGTCTAGTTGACTTAGATTTGGGCATCAGGACTCAGGAGAGGCAAAGGTTGGCGGAGAAGAGCCTTGCTGTGTTTCTTTTGGAAGACTGAGGCAGACAGGGACCTTGGGGAGGTGGTAGGTCTGGAGAAGTTGTTGATTCTTTAATGTCAAGGAGGGGTTCTCCACTCTCCTTAACATTATTGCTTGTTCCTTAGCTGTCACTCTTTAGTAAGTTTAGTTCAGCAACACCCGTACTACACACAGTGTATGGGGGTGGGGGAAAGCAAGGTTTATGAACACATAACCAATTTCCCTGGTTCTCTGTGTTGCCTATGAACTATGGTGTGGGAAAAGGTTCTGAAACATGAAGTTAAACATATATTCACAATGATATGTGAGTCTTTGCATTGTCAGTTTTTCCATTTCCAGACTCTGCCAAGTGGGTGGGGCTAGACCATAATGGGGAAGTGGGATGTAAGGAAATACATCATATGGACAACGACAGAGGAAGGTACGTGGACAGAGAAGGAGACCTCCCTTGTGATGGGTGCCTTCTCTTATTTTCTGGATGGAATTTTGTTCTTGGATTCGGTCTTTTCTACAGAGGGAGAGGGATATAAAGATGAAATTTAAAATTTTGATCTTAAACTTGTTGCACAGAAAGTTTGACAGTTTACCTTCTAAAAAAAATTGTGGATACTCAATAGACACACACACACATACACACGCACACAATTTATATACCAGAATCAAGATTCAGGATAGTTTCATTACCTCTCCAAGTCCCCTGAGATATCTCTTTCTGGTCATACCCAACCCATCTATAACCACAGATATTGATCTATTTTCGCCCATGATATACGTGCTGTCTTTGCGAGAGTATCAAACAATGGAATGGCTGGCTTAAGACTGGATTCTTTCACTTAACACTGTCTTCAATGTAGTTGTGTATAACAAGAACCAATTCCTTTCTACTGCAGAATACTATTCTACTGTATGGATGTACCTTGTTAGTTTAGGTACTAACTACGTACATTGTAGGAGGTACCTAGTAAGCTAGGTACATTTGTCTATTCAGATGTATTTGGGTTGCTTTCAACCTTGGGGTACTACATATAAAGCTAATATGGATAGTAACACAGTCATTTCCCTGTGAAATAGTTTCTGATTTCCCTACTTGATCGCATGTGATAAGTGTTTATTCAGTTTTATGAGAAACAGCCAAAACGTGGACTGTTTTCCCATCCTCCCAGGAATACGAAAGAGAGTGTCCCACATGTTCACTGTCACTTGGTGTTGGTCATGCCTTTCACCTTGGCCATCTAATGGGTATAATGGCACCTCGCCATGGAGTCGATGCGTTTTTTCAAATGGCTAAGTGTGTTGAAGATCTTCTTATGTGTTTATTTGCCATCTTTTGTCCTCTTTGGTGAAATATCTGCACAAGTTCTGTGCCCATCTTTACGGTGAGTTACTTATGTAGCTACATTAATGTATATATGAGATAGGGTCTCACCACATAGCCCAGGCTGACATAGCCCAGGCTGGCCTCAAACTCACAACACTGTCTTAGCTTCCCGGGTGCTGGAATTACAGGTGTGTTCCACCAGGACCCACTTGAACTGCTGATTTTTAAGCTGTTGAAGTTTGAGGGTTATATTTATAAGGATGCACTTTGACGGTCATGGCAAGAGGAGCAGATAACAAAGGAGAAACAGAAGAGACGTCCTTCCCACTGCCTGGAAGGCAGTGCAAGGGAAAGAAAGGAAAAAGTCAGGCTTCGCCAGTGCTGCAGAACAGACACTCCTCCCGCCCCGGCCTGGGAGTCACCGTACTCACGGCTTCGTAGTCTGCCAGTTCCAGCCTCGCTTTGTTCTGCATCGTCCTCTTACAGAGGTAGATAGCTGAGGAAGGAGAGAAACAACAGCCATATAAGCCAGCAGCGCCGCGGAAAGGACCCAGCACGTGCCTGCCCAGCCAGGCACCCCCTGTGCCGGTTAGTTATAAGTCAGTTTGACACAACTTGAAGGGGAGGACGGAACCTCAATTTAGAAAATGCCTCCGTAAAGGTGGGCTGTACACAAGCCTGTAGGACATGTTCTTAATTAGTGATGGATGGGGGAGAGCCCAGCCTATTGCGGGTGGTGCCATCCCCAGGCTGGTGGTCCTGAGCTCTATAAAAAAGCAGGCCGAGTAAGCCATGAGGCGTAAGCCAGTAAGCAGCATTCCTCTGCGGCCTCTGCATCAGCACCTGCCTCCAGGTTCCGGCCCTGAATTCCTGTGCTGACTTCCTTTGATGATGAACAGTGATGTGGAGCTGTGAGCCAAATAAACCCTTTCTTCTCCAGGTTGCTTTTGGTCGTGGTGTTTATCACAGCACTAATAGCCCTAACTGACACCACCCACCTTGACCGTGGCAGTGAGCAGCTGCCCAAGAGGAGCCGCTTTTCAAAGTGGGTGTCATTACATCTGGACGCCTCTCTTCCTCCCTCTGCTATGCACAGAACACCCTCTGGCCAGTGTGACCTTTCACAGGCATGACCATGACCTGTGTTGCACCCTCAGTGACAACGGAAGAAAGATTGTCATTAGGGTTGTAAATATGGCCCTTTATAATCCCATCTCACCCTCTCAAATCTCTTCTCTTCTCTCCTACAAGCTTTACAAGGCTACTACCCTTAACCCCACATGCAGAGGCCAGAGGTTAACCTTTAGTGTCTTTCCTTAGATATATCAATCTTGTGTTTTGAAATAGGGTCTCCCACTGGGACCCGGGGCTTGCTAGTGAGTGCCAGGATTCTCCTGTCTCTGCCACCCCAGCATGGGGCTTACAAGTGTGGACCACCATACCCAGCTTTTCACGTGGGTGAGGGGCTTGGATTGAAGTCTTTCATGCTCACACACCAAGCATTTTGCACTGTGTCACCTTCTTCCAGTCCCACTGAAACTCAAAAGCCAGCCCAGTGTTCCAGAGAGCATCCATAGCCTCTCAGTGACACGACCCAGTCTCACTGCATTCCTGGAGTGTCCCCTGCTCTTGACTGAAAATTCTTTAGGGATGCAAGCTGTGTCTTACTCAGCTGTAGCCCTCCTTGCCCCTGGTCCCAGGTCTGTTTTGTCATAGAAAGATCAGAGAAAAGGAAGGACAACTTAGACCTGTCCTTCCAAGCTAAGGAAGGGTTCTTAGCCCCACGTTACCAGAACATTCTTTCTCAAACGTGACCTTCACCTTTGCTCCCTATCTCTGCTCCTTCAGCGTTGTCTTCCTTTTCAGAGTCAAGAAGGGGAAGCAGGAGGTGACTGTCGTGAGTGACCATGAGGGTGGCCCACAGCCTGGGCCTGCCCAGTGCCCTGATACCTTTCTTATGCCCCCCAGGCAATGCCTTGCTGGTTCAAACAACTAATTGTTTTTTCTTCTGGCAGTCTAAGATACTGACAACCCTGTGACTAGTAGCCTTCTTTCCAGTGTGCCCACTCTTCTGAATTCTACAGTCTGTGCTGACCAGAGCCAGCTGTGGTTGCCCCCAAATCTGCTTAGTCAGTTCAGGTGTACCCACTATTTTAACAACAACAACACAGACAGGCAGGCAGACAGACAGGCAGACAATCAAACACACACACACACACACACACCAGACCTTTGTTTGGTCTGACGTAATGAGTTTTCCATTTAACAACAGTGCGGAAACCGGAATGGATGGACTAGAAACCATAGTTACGGATTGAACATTTTGATCTTCTTCTGGGCTGTGTGAAGTTTCACTCTCTCGGGACGCTGGGCAGTGGCAGAGAGCCATGGTGCAAACACGCTCACAAGGGGAAAGAATTAACACCATGCCGTGTGCCGTGTTGCTAAGCGAGGGATTCTGCTAGGTGGAGGTGTATTGTGACTTGGGATATTTTCAGGTTTCATTGGGAATATGAGGATAACTTTACCATATGTTGAGGACTATCTGTACCAATGAAATCACTGTTAAAAGAGAGAGTGGTCATGTTTCTGAAGACATTGCTAAATGACTTGGAGCAAGCTAATGAATCAAGAAGAGTTGACTGGGGTAATTGCTGGTGAATTTGCTAGGGTTGAGGCATCTGGGGGGAAAGCAATAAAAACGTAGAAGGAGCCAATATTCACGTGGTTTCAGAAATTCTTCCTGCAGTTTAATAATAATATTCACCCTGGATGGTTTATTTAAGAAAGAACCCAAGTCCTTGGGAGCTACAGTCAAAGAGAAGTCTTTGATCTTACTTCTTGGGCTGCCACACGGATGTTCCTTAGCATGAGATATTCCTCTAGGGCAGTGCTTCTTGACCTTCCTAACTCTGCGGCCCTTTGATACAGTTCCTCATGGTGTGCCAACCCACAACCATAAGGTTATTTTTCTTGCTATTTCATAATTGTAACTTTGCTGCTGTTCTGAATCATTATATAAATATCTGATATGCAGGATCTCTGATATACGACCCCAAAAGGGTTTGCGACCCACAGGTTGAGAGCTGCTGATCTAGGGGACTTAAAGTACGTGGAGGCTGTGTCCCCGAGTTTCACTTTACCAGGTCTGGCAATGAATGGAGCAGGCAGACTTCTGCTTTGAACAAAGTGCCCCGCCCCCAGCTTCTAGGACCAGATAGCCTGTGGGATTGGAGTCACCAAGCCCGGAGCTTGGCATGCCACCTGCCTCATCTCCATCCCTGCTGAACCAACGGAGGTGACAGCTACTTTGACAAAGCATTTTCTAACTGGTCCAATGTGAAACTCAGAGAGAGGCTAACTCAAGGGCTGGGAGTAGCAGGGTGGCTCTGTGGGTAGGGATGCTCAGAGTCCAAGCTTGAGGACCCAAGAATCCCCTTGTAACCCCCAGAATGCACAGAAGAAGCTACAGATGGATATGTGTGGATGAATATGCCCATGACTGCAGGGAAGCAGAGCCAGCTTACTGCGCTCACTGGTCAACACTCTTATCTCTGGGAAGTGGTGAGAGACCCCGGACCAAAACGTGAACTAGAGAGTGACAGGAAGGTCTACCTGATGTCCTACTCTGGCTTCCACATACATACAAGTGGCTGTCCCCCCGCACCCACACTCCCATGCAGACACTTCTCACCCCCCACGAAGTGAACAGAACAGGGAGGGGTTAGCACAGATTTTGACTATAGGTCTTATGCGGGTAGATTCATCCCAAGAAATTTCTACCTGGGCCAGAATGGTCATAAGGTTGTAGAGTACTGAGCAAGGAGCAAAGGCTGGTGCTGTAGCTGCTGACCATGGGCCCACGGGCTTGGACTTCCAACCTGTTCTCTGTGGCTAATATGTGGTAACCTGTTCACCACAGGGAACTGGTGCTCTTGGAGCTTACAGGCTTGTCTGTACAAGTAGGCAGCCTTTTCCTTTTACTGGCTCCAGTGACCTCTAGTGGTGATAGCCAGTCCTGCAAGAGGACCTCCAGGGAATGTGAAGCCCCCCTTGCTGGCCTGGCCTGTTTGTCTGTCTGTCTGTCTTTCATTTATTTTTTATTTACACTAATAATTAGTTATCTCTACCTCCAGACTTCACTGTGGCTTCACTTGGATGTACTCACTCCAGTACTCACCCTAACAAGAACACATTGTGTCTAACACACCAAATAGGGAACAGACTTGTGTCCTGTTAAGATACAAGGAACTGAGTCACACAAGATGACTCGGGGCAAAAGGAGAGAACTGACTACTGAAAGTTGTCTGTGTGTGTCCATGCCCGTGTCCATGTCTATGTGTGTGTGTGTGTGTGTGTGTGTGTCTGTGTGTTCACTGTCTCTCACACACACAATAAATGAAACAAATTTAAAAAATCTATCTGGAACTGGTCTATTTTAATGATCATAAAACCTGATTCATTCACATTGAGTCACATGACAACAGCACCCGTATATGCTGATATTACCGACTATCAGGGACCTCACAAATGTGAACACTACATAGTCCTCACTATAACTACCAGGTAGGTTTGGTTAGGATCCCCATTTGCCAAATGAAGGGACTTCCACAAGTCCTCCCTCTCTGCTGGGCATCCAGAAGGGCTCCCAGAGATGACCAAGTCAGCTGAACCTTAGCTAGGGCTTTTAGGATAGAACCCATCTGGGACTTCGTGTCATCTTGCTGGGATTTAGAGTCACCTAGGAGATGAACTCCTGGGCATGTCTGTGAGGGTGTTTCTGGGAAGGTCTGACTGTGGAGGGTATACCCGCCCTTCACGTGGATAACACCGGGGCATGGACTGGGGTCCTGTTCTAACCGCAAAGGAGACTGTGGGCTAAGCACCAGGATTTAGTGTTCTCTGCCTCCTGATGGCAGACGCAATGTGACCGACTGCCGCACCCTCCTGCAGCCACGCTTTCCCACCACTGCGACCCAGCAAACCCTTAAGTCCTTAAGTCCCTCTGGCTGGGCATTTTGCCCTAGCCCTGAGGAAAACAGCCATGTGCCTCCCTATCCTATCAACATCTTCACCCACCCTTCTTCTGTCACCGAGCCCCCTTTCCTGCTGGGCCAGCGAGACTGTGCTTGTCAGATCAGTGACAGAGCTAATGCAGAGTTTACCATGAGCCAATGCTTGTTGAATGAATAAAAGTTCTGGTCCTTGGTCAACATACTTCATTCTTTTCCTGAATTCTCAGTTTCAGTCTCACCTCCTTCTGGGGAGAGGACAATCACCTAGCAACAATTCTGCATCATTGTAGCAATGCCAGCATCAGCTACCACCTTCCCAGGGACAACATCCAACATCCCCCAGGACAGGGGTGACTCCTTACTCTGCCACACAGCAAACCTTTTTTTTTTTTTTTTTATCTCATTCACTGAATCCCAACAAAGCAGAACCGGGAAACAAGCAGTGGTGTTGCTCTGACTTTAAGATGAGGTTCCAAGGCAGCGAGGGGTGAGGGAACTTGCCAAGATCACACAGGCAGAGGGACAGTTGATTCTGTGGGTTCTCTTTGCCCAAGTCTCTCCTGGGAAGCTGACTTTCTGACTAAACTATCTCAGGGGTTCCTTTCTTTTTATATTCCACACCTTGATTTTCCAACCTGAGACTTTGCCATAGATGGAGGCACAGGGATGCAAAAACAATTATGTATAAAGGTGATCCTGACGTCACCTGTTGCTTCCGTCTCTCCTGCCGCAGCCCACTAATATTCGGAAATGGAACGCTGTCGAGAAAATTCTGAAAGGGAGAAAATTCTGTCCCACTGCACTCAGTGTAAGGTAGCTGAATATATTTTACTCTTATTTTGATCTAGGTGTCTGGTCTGGTTACACCCCCATCCCTCCCACCTCCCATCCCCCCACCCCCGCCTGAAGGGCACAGGGTGGGTGGAAATGAACTATAGTTATTCGAATGAGGAGACCGGCCACCCTTAGCAGTCTTTCAGGACAGCAGCTGGCCTTGCAGCCAGCCCTCCCAGACAGGGGTCCCCACCAGCCAGTCCTTACAGCTGCAGCTGCCTTCCTGTCCCTCTTGGTTCTGTAAAGATCCAGGGGAAGTTCTTGGGCTCCCCAAGTGCCTTGGTCCTAAATTGCACCAGTGTCTGCAAGGATGCCAGGCGGAGGGGTGGTGCTGTTGGCATGGACTCCAGACAGGGCACACACAGGAGCGGGAAAGGAGATGGGCTGGAGTCACTCAGCTCTGAGTTTAGACTCTGTTTCCAGGGACTGTCTATTGGTCACCTTCAATGAAGAACCAGAACCAGGAACTGGAGAGGCGGCTCAAGAGTTAAGAGCACTTTCTTCTCCCTGAAGCCCACAGATGGGCTCCCAGCACACATATCCAGTGGCTCCTATCAGACTGTTAACGCCAGCTTCAGGGGATCTGATGCCCTCTTCTGGCCTTTGGGTGTACTGCACACTTGTGAGGTATGTGTGTGTGTTTGTATATATATACACACATATACACATATTCAGACAGATAAGATGGCACATACATATAAATAAAAGTAAATAACTTTAGAATGTTGTGTGACAAACTGTGAAAAGGAACCAGAAGTAGACTGACGTGTAGCTTAGCACACTTAAGACTGGGCTCGATTCCAGTGCTGCAAGAGAACCCACCTCAACCCAAATGAAACAAATAAAAAGATCTTAAGCAGTAGCAAACCCCCCAAAGGTTCTGGAAATAAAGACGTACTGAACACCACATATGCCCTATGCCACAGATCCCACCCTGGGGATGCTGTGAACACCCAGAACAGACCAGCCCTGGCCTTCTTGGGTCTCACTATCAACTGGGAATTCAGACTAATGTGATCCTATGAGGATATGGACTTTCTGGGTCTCAAGTTCTTTACCTTAAGTTGGGGACCATATAATTTCTTCAAAGAACTGGTTCATGGAGAATATTAGGTAGTCTCTTTGAGAGTGTGGCACAGGTCTATCTGTGCTCTGTCTGCAGAGAAGTAAACTTTCACCTTAACTACTTCCCTAGTCTAAGATGACAACTGTCCATCCCTCTCTGTCTCCCCTTAACTTCCAACTATCAAAATCACCAATGAGTTCCTAGTAAACTTTTACAAGTATGTAAAAATAGAAAAGGCCAGGGGAAGGCAGCTCCTTGATGCTGCCTTCCCTGACGCTATGTCCTTAGAAGGCGCAATAAAAGCCCCATCACACAGTGTTCCCATAAAACCTGTTCCCTTTGTCCCTGCTTTTGGGAGGACTGCACCGCTCAGTGCGCTGTGTCTTTGTTCACTGTGTACAACAGGGAACCTGATACAGGCAACAAGGAGTTAGCAGGGACAAGAGCCCCTATCCCTGGCACCATGGTCACCAGGTGCTGAGCATTTGCCTTTGATACTCCCAGGAGTGACAGGAAGTACAGGTACTCCCGGGAGTGACAGGAAGCGTGGATACATCATCTCTTCTCACCGTAGTCAGTGTTTTCAGGTTCCCAGCAGTTGGAAGGCCAGAAGTAAGGAGCCTGCAACAGAGCACACGGCATCAGGACCAGAGGCACGCAGTTGTAAAATTGAGAACTGTAAGCTGTGGGTGGACACCCCTTTTCCCCTGGCACAGGATGGCACAGTTTCTTCTTTAACACCTCGGCAGAACTATGTTCCCCAAGCCTTTGGCTGAGGCTTTGACACAGCCCCCAACTCTATCTCTGCTCCCTCGAAGGCAGAGTCTGGGAGAAGGGCTGACAGTGGATAATGGAGAGTAAGTGAGGGCGTGAGAACGCACTCCAGCATGATACAAATCAGGTATGGTACTTTAGGGCTCATTCGGACTCAGCTTTCTAGGATCACTAAGAGCTATGTTCATTCTCTGAGACAGTGTCCCCAAAGACCCCCATTGTAAGATGGATGATATCCACTTCTGTAACAGCTTTTTTTCCCCCAGAAGAAAAGATGGAAAATATCTGTTCTCATATAAACTCCAGTCTTCTAGGAGGTGCTCTGCAGAGATGGAGTCTTGGGATTGGAGAGGTAACTCGGAGGTTAAGAACATTTACTGTTCTTATAAAAGACCTGGGTTCAATTCCCAGCACCTGCATGGTGACTCAGAACCATCTGGAACTCTAGTTCGAGGCCATCTGACACCCCCTATGTCCTCTGTTGGCCCTAGATATATACATGGTACATATACATATATCCAGACAAAATATAAATACATATGAAATAAAAATAAGCCTTTTTGTTAAAGAGGAGACATGGGGTCTTTGGAAGGTGATGGGAACGAGGAGATGGAGGCCTCATAAGTGAAATTAGTGTCCTTATTTTTAACAGGCTTGAGGGAGACACCTCTTCACGTCCACCACATGAGGGACAACTAGAAAGTTCCATCTATGAAAAAGAGAGTACTCCCCCACCAGACACTCCCCATCCCCCAGAACTGTGAAAAATATGTGTATAAGATATGCAAGGCATTTTTATGACAAGATCCCCCAGGGGCTTAGACAGTGTCCCCAAATACCATAGGCTTCCAGTGAGCACCTTTTACTGTTCTTTAAGTGGGCCCACTCACTGGCTAAGTTAACACATCTCTTAGCTTTCCCAGGACTTTAGGGGGACATTTGCTCTCTTAAATATGCCTAGTTGTTCTAGATGGTTCTAGAGTGAGGTCACATGGTGATGAGCAGAAGGGTCCTTCAGGAGGAGCCAGCAGGCCTACCTGGAAACGGTAAAAGGTGCCATCGTCTTTCATGGTGAGAACGTGGTCTGAGATTGGGAAGATGTAGCCCTGGGCAGCAATAAGGCTTCCCAGGTGTATTGCTTCAACTGGAAGGAGAGAAGAGGAGGAAGCAGGTCATTCAGCTAAAACACGCACTGGGAGAGCGGAAGGTGACCCGAGGTCACGTGCCATCCCTCTAGATGACGGTGCTGAGGATCTCTTCCCCTGCTGATGGGTAGCAACCGGAGGATGCTGACCTACGAGAAGAACCATTGTGCGTCTGGCCTCCTCTGAGAATTTAACAACACCTAACCACCCATTCCCCGCAATCTTCCCAAATAAAGTCAGAACCACAGCATGGCATAGACCAAACATGACCTAAAGCAGCAAGGCATGTCACACAGTCCTTAGCAGGGACTCAGGCAGAGATGGCAGCCCTGAGAACCTACATAGTTCTCATGTCTCTGATCCTCGGCACTGAGGGTACTGTTTCGTGGTCCAGAGGCTTTAGAATCTCCTTATGACACAGCTGTTCCTCCCGTGAGAAGAGTGCATCTCCTGTGATGGACTAGGGCAAGACCTCCCTGTCCCAGGAGATTAGAGCGAGGATGACGGGGTGGGCGGTGCCACAGAAACATGAATATTTCTGCCAGAATCAACATGTTGCCTCCTTCTCTCAGCCCCAGCCATATACAGGCTTCTATTAGTAGTTAAGATTTTACCTTCTCCTGCAAGGAGCCCATACAGGAAGGGGAGGGTGGGTCCTAGATTCTCCTATGTCCAGTTTTATAAACGGTGCCTTTTAAAGTCATTTGTCTTGTCTGTACCTGCGAGCTTCACAACACTGACTACAACCTAAGTGCTTTGCTTCCGAAGAATCACCAAGTCCCCCTGGAAGTACTACCCAATTGGGTAGTACTCCGAATAGACTACGAATAGATGATGTTTTATTTTACCTGCTTTCTGATGACCGGTTTGCATTTACAATTCTATATGGCTGTCCCTATATATCCACGTAGAATTTGTTTCAGGGTCCCCATGAAGATCAAAATATTTGGGTGCTCAAGTCTTGATATCAAATGGCTTCATGTATAACCTGCACACACCTTCCTGCAAGCTTCAAGCTAGGTTACTTTGATGCCTCACACAGTCTGAACGCTATGCAAATGGCTGTTATACTGCCATGCTTAGGGAATAACAAACCTCTATATGTTGAGCAAGGACATATTTTTGTATCAAATATTTTCAATCCAGTGTTAGTTGACTTCGAGGATAAAGCTCTGAATACACGGAAGTCCAATTGTATGCTTTAAGAACCAGGAGCCAGGTGTGATGGCACAGGTTTACAAGCCCAGCACCCAGGAGGCTAAGGACGGTGAACTGAGCAGTCAAGGCCAGTTTGGGCTACATAGAGAAACCAACTAGGCAGCCAACCAACCAACCAACCAACCAACCACCCAACCGGCCAACTAAAACCCTAACACAAACAACAGAAAGGATGCCAGGTCCAGCGAGAAGGAAAGCTTGATCATTTGCCCTTCCCCATGCAAGGTGGAAGAGGAAGATTCCAAAAGCAGGCAACGCTGCACTGCTGACGCTGGAGCTAAACTCTTCCTTAGAAAAGCTTTTACTTCCCCAGGAAGGAACAGAGAAAAGACAGAGGAACCAACACTGGACTTCCATTGAACTTGCTGGCTTCCCAGGCTGTGGTTCATGGCTCTGTCTTCTGGCAAATTGTTTTAGCTTCTCCTTCCAGGCTAATTCTCAGAAGCCCAACCTGTCCCAACATCTTGATGTCCCCCTCAAGGTATCGGAGAAGAGGAGCCCTTCATAGATGTGACCTCCACCAGTCTGGACCTGCCACAAGAGTTTTTCACGCCACAGGAGTCTCATTTACATTAGCTGGGTTATCGTTCTCAGAACATTAGTAATAATGAGAATAATGAATTCGATGGGTACTTTAGAACGGCTAGGAAGCGCTCTTAGCTAATTCTACCATGAGAAATGACTTTAAGTTAGCATGGCCAAAAGGAAGCAGTGACTTCAGATGAATGTCACCCAACGGCCGGTCACACAGGTTTTCTAATGGAAACACCAAGACTTGGAGCCCTGGCCTTCAAGGGAAATTCTTAGCTCACAAGAAAAAAAGAAGCATAGGCGCTTTTTCTTGTGAACTAAGAACTTCACTCAAATTAAGAAGTTTTGTTAGCTGGCAGAGTGGCCACTGATCCAGGACATGAAAAGGGCCAGGGTCACTTCCCAAAAATCACCTGCTCTGCAGGGGCTCCTGTTTCCAACAGACCTGGTAGCCTTCCCCTGCAAGCCACGTGTCACTGAACTGAATTTTCTGAAACTGCATTGCTGTACACTCAGCTGCAGATTGGCAATGCCAGGTTAAAATGCAAGCCTGGGCTGGCTTATTGATTCCAGCAAGTAATTACAATCATAAACCCAGCATCTAGTGGGCGCACTTGATACAAATTCTCAGAAAGCATGTGGTCAGGGGCCACTTAACTTGTGGTGTCTTTATCCCCTAAGGGTGACCATTAGGAACATCAGAGCAGAGGGCTGGGTTTATGCAGCTCAGTGGTAGAAAGCTTGCCCAGTAGGAACAAGGCCCTGGGATCGCTCAGCACTGATGTGAACCCCACAGTAGATCTGTTACGGGTATTTATAAATATGAGTATTAATAACACCAGTTAAGCCAGACAGATGAATGTGTGCTACACGCTAAGGGTGGAAAATAAACAGCCCAATGATAAACTCACAGCACACTGATAAAAATCGACTTAAGCCGTCTAGAAGTTTCGCTTTTTTTTTTTTTCAGGAGTGCCCTCCCCCCGTTTCCCAATGAGATGGCGAAAACACATTGTCCTGCTTATTTCCTGGTGGAGAGACAGCTGTGGAAACTGCCTTCGTTGGTCAAGGTTTTGCTTTTTTTTTTTTTTTTTCTGGTAGACTTTGCCTAATTGAAATACACAATTAGAGTGGGGGGGGGGAAATCACTTCTTCACTTCTCGCAGAAGCAAGAAACAGAAGGCGTTTTAGCAAATAATTAAACATCTTAATTGTGGATCAGGCAATCTAATTTTAAGAGCTGCTTCTAGAAGGCTGTTCTGTGACAGGGCTACAACTTATCTTTAATTGCTGCGGCTAACGAGAATTCATCTCGTTTTCGCAGGCTATTGTGCTGAGCTCTTTGGCGTTCTCAATAGCGGCTCATTTCCTCAAAGGGTGATTTCCACGTGATGATAGACATTCAGGGGAGAAAATAAATGACTTCTATCTGCAAATACAATGATCCCGCATCCTGGAATCCACGGCGATAAGCCCTCTTTTCAAGACTGTATAGGCCCGCTGGGGAAGTGGCCTATGGCATGCGTGCCAACACCAGGGGAGGCAAAGGCAAGGTCAGGGGTCAAGTACCTGGGTCCTCAATGGAAAGGTTCTTCATAAGCCACTGTACAACGTCCGTACCTGCAATGACAAAGCCATTTCAGTCGAAAATCTCAGGGGTAGCAGGAGAAGCATCTTTACCGGAGTCCTAAGCCCAGCAGCACACAGCTTGGGAGCTGGGTAATACAACCATTCCTCATGCTAACCAGCCCTTCCCATCCACCAGGGCATGGCCACGTTAGCATTTAGTAGTTGCCTCGTTCTTTAATGGAGATAGGCTTTTGTGCATCCCAGGCTGGCCTCGAATTTTCTATATAGCTGAGGATGCTGAGGGCCCAGTCCTGTACCACCACGCCTGGTTATTTAGTACAGGGGATCAAATGCGCGACTCCATGCGTACTAGGCAAGCCCTGTACCAGTCGAGCCGCACTCCTAGCCTATAGTTCAATTCTCTCATGAGAATAAAAACAAAACAAAAAACAATGCCACCATCAAAACCAAAACAAAAAAACCAACCAACCAAATAAACAAACCAAAAACCAAACCCACTTCTGACGCTTCAGTTACAATGGAATTTCCGGGAGCATCTGCCAGGAACTTCCTGAGGACACAGATTTCAATGGCTTCCCCAAGGCAGGCCAGGGCAGCCTTAGCCTGCCTGTTCCCAGAATATTTCTTTTCCAGCACCATGCCCTTCCTGACAGTGCTAATCAACTCAGGTGACCTCAGAGGTTCTTAGAAACTTGTTCTTGGGCTGGAGAGATGGCTCAGAGGTTGAGAGCACAGGCTGCTCTTCCAGAGGTCCTGAGTTCAATTCCCAGCACCCACATGGTGGCTCACAATCATCTGTAATGAGATCTGGTGCCCTCTTCTGACCTGCAGGCATACATGCAACCAGAATACTGTATCTATAATAAATAATTTTTTAAAAAAAGAAAAAAAAGAAACTTGTTCTTTTCTGGCATGAGTCCATTCTGAACCAATCGACCTCTGAGACTGTAGACTATGTCTGGGTCATCGCTGACAGTTCCTTCTTTTTCCTTTGGCCTCGGCTCACCTTAAATTTCCAGGCTTTCCCAAAGTTGGCTGTAGACTGAACAGTGCTAAGCATATGTAGGTGGAATTACCTGCACCCGCCTGTGAAAGCCTCCTCCTCCACAGACCCTTCCTTCCCTTATTTACCTGGGAAACTGAGTGGAGCAGAGACACAATATGGATGGGGCCATGAATCCCACCATGAAAATTAATGACTATTTAGATCCCTCATGAGAGGTATTACCTGTGTGCAGAATAAACCCAGTTTCTTCTAGCCAGCATGTTTCAGGTAATTCACACTTGAACAGAAATTTGACCAACCTTACTTCTTCCTGCTGGTCTTAGTTTTGTCTTCTGATGACAGAAAAGTGAACCTGAACCCAGATCTCATCTCTCTGACACCATCCCTTCAGACTTTGGGCAGTCCTTCCATAAGCCACCAGTGTCACCATTCCCAGTGTGACATGCCTGGAGCCATTCCATGGCTTAGCCTGGAGCGCCTCACATTGGCCAAAGCCTTCTGAACAAACTCCCTTTTACTGTCTGCCTTTAAAAAGATGGCTGGGCAGTAGTGGCGCACGCCTTTAATCCCAGCACTCGGGAGGCAGAGGCAGGCGGATCTCTGTGAGTTTAAGGCCAGCCTAGTCTACAAGAGCTAGTTCCAGAACAGGCTCCAAAGCTACAGAGAAACCCCTGTCTCGAAAAACAACAACAATAACAAAGAGCAACTAGAACCCAGGTTCCAAGAGCAGCATAGCTCACATGGACATGTGTAGGGAGTGGAGGAATCCCCCAGAGAGTGAAGCGAGGAGGGCCTGAGTGAATATGTATTGTTGACATGGGCATAGGTATCCCAAGGACCCTAGTGTCGCAACCCTGAGAATCTGGCAAAGCCTCCTCCCTGGTGGGGTTCAGAAGCATAGCAAAACCTTCCTTGGTTGGGGGAGGGGCAGTTCAAGTGCAGGCAATTGATCAGTGTGCACAGGAGCTAGCAACTTTCTTCCTCCTAGGTGCTATAGCCTGAGACATCACCCCACAGAGACCTCCTACCAAGCTTAGCCATCCCTACTCCCTGTGCTACACACAACAAACACACGGAGGGTGTGGGTTGCCAGGGTAGACAGTGTGGCCCCAGCAGAGTGCACACCCCACCTGGCCCAGATTTTCTGCACTTGTGTCCGTGTGTCTGTCCCCTTTTCATTCCTTTGCCTCCCTAGTCAGGGTTTCAGGACCCAAGCCCAAGTTATGTAACAGAAGGACAAGAGCCCAATTATCTGCAAGAGTCAAAACATCTGATCAGCCCAAAGTCGCTGGTACAGACCTCTAAACAGGGCTTCATCGTGTCTTGTGGAATGTTTGATGGAAAATAGGCTGGAAAGGAACAACATTTCCAGATCTGAGTCAAGAATGGGTCTGAAGCCTTGGTCTGTCTCTGTCTGTCTGTCTGTCTGCCCCCCCCCCCCCCTCTCTCTCTCTCTCTCTCTCTCTCTCTCTCTCTCTCTCTCTCTCTCTGTCTCTCTCTCTCTCTCTCTCTCTCTCTCTCTCTCTCTCTCTCTCTCTCTCTCTCTCTGTCTCTCTCTCTCTCTCTGTGTGTGTGTGTGTGTGTCTGCTAATCTAGTCCCTGGCTGGCTTCCCAGCAGGCGAATGAGATCCAGCAAAGGAATTTACTGAGGTACCGTTTTCTTGGGAGTCAAAATTTTTAGACACTTGACCCCTGACTGGAAGTAAGACCTCTGCTGTCTGGAAAGCCTGGACATTTGGTCTCTGTGTGGCTCTATGGAAGAGTTGAGACAGTGCAGCGTAACCGCCAGGGGCCTACCCTCCTCCTCTGGGTCTTGGCCCACGGGCCAACCCTCATCGACAATGCCATTTCCTCACTCTTAGGCCTCCAAAGCAAGACTCAGACGGCTCCTGCCGTTGCTTCCGGACCACATCCGTGAGCTGAAATTGGATGTGAGAACACTCTGGCCCATTCACATCCTTTGAGAGGGAGTCCATTTGTACAGCAGTGCGTGTGCGCATGCGCGTGAGTGCGTGCTCATCCCCCCCCCCCCCAATTCCAGAAGTTCTGCATTTGTACTAGGAAATGCAGAACAAAGCAGACATCAAATAAGAACTGTAATCCCAAATTGGGGGTGGGGGGGGAGACACTAACCTGTTTTCCACCCCCCCTCAAAGAAAAATAGTTCTTTTCTGTGGGTTGCCTGGAAACTGCAAGGCTTCCAGTATCACCAGGCTCTCCCGGGGGCCTGAGGATTATCTTTCAGCCGCCGAGCTTGCTCAGCCATTATTTATCACCTGCCAAGATTGATTGCTCACCCTGGGACAATGACAGCCCTTCCTTTCCCCTGTTAATTACTGTCATCATTAATATCCATGTCACTAATTAGTATTCATTGGCATTGAAACTCCTTCCTTGCTATCCTACCCACCGCCGCCCCCAGCCACCCTGCACCATTGTCTGGATTTCTGCCCCATTTGGCACTCAGTTCCTGGCTCAATTATTCTATGGCTCCACCATGCCCTGGGTGCATGCACTTAGCTAAAGAATCACAGTGAAGCACTTTCCGTCTAAGGAAGATAAAGTCACAAAAGTCCCTTTTCCTTCTCCCCCTAACACTTTGGGGACCACAGAGCTGGGTTTTGTGCTATGGTACAGTGACCATGACAGTGGCCACGCCATGTGGGGACTGTTAAGCTGCTATTCCTGGCCATCCTGGGCAGGAACACTTTATCTGCTGTGCCATCACTGCCCTGGGTCCCTCACACATGGTGGGTACCATATTGTGGCGTGTAGCAAATGTTTTGGAAGATGCTCAGGGATAGGTGGACACTCCTACAAGCGTCTAAGGTCAGATCCACAAGTGGCCTACTCCCGTTTTGGGGCAGGAAGTGAACCACTGTGGTTCTGCCCCAGAGCAGGCAGGGAAGGCAAATAATGTCATGATATTATGAAAGTGTCCCAGCTAGACATGCTGGAGCCAGACAGGAGCAGTCCCACAGCAGCAGGAGCAAGCATTTCCTTTCTCATTTTTGTCTTTCCTCTCGCTCCACCAACCCCAGAGACCCTCCTTTCCTTCCTCATACACAAAAAAGTTGAAGAAGAGTCTTTTCTGCTCTATCAGAAAATAATCGCGGCCTTTTGTTTCCACAGTTGAATCTGAGATGTTGTATTAGTCAAGATGCCTTGTGGGGACTTAATGACTGGTAACAGCCCACAGCATAACACAGGCAGCTCTATTCCTGAGAGCCCAAAACACTGGCCTGGAAGCTGTCTTTCTGAGGCCGACTGCATGCGTGTTTGTCTCTGTGTGTGCTCCGTATGTGTTTCTGTGAGATCACATACAAGTGTTTTCACATGCATTTGTATATCTGAGATGAACGCCAGCATCTTCTTCAGGGACTCTCCACCTTGTGATAGGACTTCTCTCTGTCTGTTTATCTGTCTGTCTGTCTTTGTGGCTTTTTGAGACAGGGTTTCTCTGCGTAGCCCTGATTGCCATGACACTCACTCTGTAGACCACCAGGCTGACCTTGAACTCAGAGATCTACCTGCCTCTGTCTCCCGAATGCTGGGATTAAAGGTTTGCCGAGGTAGGGTCTCTTACTGAACCTGGCCTCGTCCATTCAGCTAGACTGGCTGGTTGGTTGGTTGGCTGGCTGTCCAGTGAGCCACAGGGATCCACCTGGGTCTGTTTTCTCTGTGCAGGAACTATAGGAACACAACCAAACCTAGCTTTTAAGTGAATTCTAGCTTCCAGGTGGGTCCTGGATATCTGAACTCAGATCCTTATGTTTGTGTGACAAACACTTCAGCAACTGAGCCATCGCCCCAATCCACGGAAACTAACTTATTAGCTCACAATACAGGAATACACATGGACCACACCAGAGGATACCCAAGTACCTTCCACTACATTTAAGCATGTGTTTATCAGCAGTTACATTCTGGGCTTCATGTGTTATAGTACACCTTTCTACTGTATCTTTTACATATAAACATATTTATATGTAATATAAATGTAATATAAACATATTTATATGTG